GAGAGAGAGAGGGAGATGACCCACTCTCTTCCTACCTACACACACACAGACACTCCCGCAAGAGCACGTACTGTATGTGGTTAAAGCAGCCTGAGTCATAGGCACATGGTTTCTTTCTGCATTCCTTTGGAGCTGAGTAAAACCGCATACGTGCTGCAGGCCACCGAAGACAGTCACTGGCCTATTCAGCATTTCTTCTACTAGCCATTGGGCTTGATCTCCGTATACTATTTACTACAAAGTGTAGCATATGTATCTGTGTATACTATTGCTTTCAGAACAAAGCTTTGTATCTCAAAAATGGTAACTTTACAGGAATAAATAAACTTTAATATAATTAAATTTTTAAAGAGGGTAACCAGTTATACCTCCCAGAAAATGTCAGGTGGCATAACCACAAAATCTTATATTTTAAAAATAGTTACAGCTACTGAAAACATGTATTAACTAGTCTTTGTACTTTGGCACCTGTATAAACCTTCGTCCTTGAACTCAAGGTTTAATTTTTTTTCCAAATAGATAAACATTATTGTGATAACACATATTCTTGTATTCCTGGGGTCAAACCACTTGACTTGGTGAACTGAACCAGTCTCAAAAATGATTCTTTTTTTTTGTGACAAATATTTCTGAATGCCCTTTTGATCTTGACATTGCCCAATTAAGGTCACTTCTTCATAATGCAATTTCCCGACCACTCTTTCTTAAAAAGCGTATCAGAATAAACTTGCTATGATTTTAAAGGTTTCAAACATAAAATCATGCCAATTTTTTTTAATTTAGAGTTTTATATAACTAAATTACCCTTTGTTAAAAGTAAGGTGTTTTACAGTTTTTTACTAATATAAGACTAATAAATTACTAAAATAATGTGCAAGACAATAAAAACCAAGACAACAAACAAAGGAACAAAAAAAGGGGAAAAGGGCCTGCATACCTTAAAAAAGTTCATTTAAAATATGAATAAAAAAAAAAAAACTGTTTTGTCAATATGTAACCATACAGTGCTATGAAATGGGAATAAGGAAAAGGCCATTCACATAGGACAGACAGGGTCTCCAGTGGAAAAAAAACTTATCATTTGACCCTTGCATGATGTACTTGATTTTCTCTGATGAGAAATTGCATCATGTCTTTTATCCAGTGTCCAAAAAGAGGAGAAAGGCTGCTCTTCTAGTTTAGTAAAATTACGCAAATGACCAATTTTAATAGTTCACTTGGTCACACCAACTGGCATTTTATTAAAATTTGGGAGCCATAATGCCTATAATGGTTTTTTTATTAATGCACATATGTTCATATTAAGGAGCTATCATAAAATAATGTGAAAAGTGTGTATTTGTAAAGTTATATATATATATATATATATATATATATATATATATATATATATATATAAAGAGGTAATAAAAGTTGGGGGAGCGGGTACAATATAAGCCTTTGTGCCCCTGTCAATAAGACATGTTGAATATTGTTGCTGTCCAATAAAAACCATTTTTTTTCTGCATCATTTCAACACACCAGCTGCCCTTCATGTTGTGTGAAAATTTCATGATAAATGGATCAATAGAAATGCTCTAAAATCTCTTTGCGTTAACTTACATTGAAAGGTAAGAGTGTTTTTGCCCTCTCCTGTAAAGTTACTATTTTTGAGATACTTGTTTTCTTTTGGACAGCGACGACATGTAGGTCAGTTTACTTATTGATACCAGGACAGTGTTTGGCTTTTTCTGCATGTACCTCAGAAACAGCAGCTCTTAAATGATTGCAGGCATTGCTCTGGATTGTATAATTGTTTACAGAAAATGCTGAAATATTTGTGTTGTGTCATCATTTTCTATATATGTACTAACTGTTTTTCCTCCCTAGTAACATTTCATCCTTGATTTTTTTAAAATGCTGGTAGGCAAAGCCGTGTGTTGTATAACAGCCACCAAAGACCCTTACAGGAACTAAAGGAGAAAGAAAAAAAAAGGTCTATGGGGGGCATGCTTTCATGTTCTTCGCAGGAACTTCTGTTTTGCATTTGCTCCTCTCCATACATTCCATCTCCTTCTCTTTTTTTTGTGGGGAACAGGAGGATCGGGGGTGGGGGGGTGGGGGGGAGCTGTGAACAGACATTCCACAGGACACATAAAACATGCATGCATATATATATATATATATATATATATATATATATATGTATATATATATATATATATATATGTATGTGTGTGTGTGTGTGTGTGTGTGTGTGTGTGTGTATATATATATATATATATATATATAAAATACATTTTGTGGCTTCCTCACATAACTGTAAATATCCATCCATTTCCTCTGGATGCTCAGAGGATTGTCTAACTTTTCCAACTTTTTGTCACAGTCCCACAACCTAATATTCCCCCAATGCATTTTCTGCCTAGTCATCTGCTCTGCTGCCTCTTGTATACACTCTTATATAAAGAAATACTACCCTTGAAAAGATGAGTAAGAAAGGATATAGAAAAATGATGTCAAAAAAGAGAGAAATCTCACATTTCAGGGAGGCAATTTATTCGGGTGGGAAAAAAACCCTTCATATTAAATATGTTTGGCAAATTCATCATTTGCACTCGTAGAAATTCTTAGGAACTAAAACTAAGTGAAACGTTCCCCTTCATATTTGACCTTTTTTAAGCACACCTGCTTTAGTGGGGTATAAATATGAGTTTGACACACAGGTTGAACACCTTTAGATCAGTGGATACACAAATGAAATATATGACAAAAGGTGGCTGACCTTCATAAATCAGGCAATGACTATAAAAAGCTTCACACATGGAAATGGTCATCTCTACTATTAGGACAACAAAAGCTTTCAGACTACTGGAGCAGTAATTAACATCCCTGGATGACACAATCGTTTTATCCCTACACTATATAAAGGTACTAAACTGTCACTGTCACTCTTGTAACTGGGGTGGAACCCTCAAGGGTACATCTCAGTACCTTTAGTTAGGGAATAGAACTGTACCATAATCCATTGAATGATATTTTCTAAGCTGTACTGACTCCACACACCCCGTCTCGTCTCCAGGACTTTATTTTACTGTTCTGTTTTAAAACATTCGGTTATGAAAAGGTACAAATACGAACTTTTCACCTGAAAAACTTATTTAAGGTTCACAGCTGGACCTTAAAACCACTGTTGTACCTTTGAGGGAACATTTACACTGTTTGTACCTCAATGAATGAAAAATGTAGCTACACAGAACCTTTATTTCTAGTAGTGTACACAGTATGAAGAGTGAGGGTCAAGAGGCAGAACTTTCACCAAGGGTCACAGTTGGGCAGCGACAGGAGCTGGTTGCATAATTAAACACCACCTCCGACAGACTGTGTATCAGGCCTGCAAGAAAAAAAGCATCTGCTGTCATCAAAATATAAACATAAGAGCCTGAACTTTGCTAAACATCACTGGGACTTAGATTGGAATTGGATTCTGGGCTTTTTGGTAGCAAACTTCAAGTGTAAGTTTTGTGTAAAAATAGTCAAGTCCATGCAGAAAATAACCACAGTGAAGTACACAGTTGGAGCTTTGATGATGTGTGTTTTTCGGTGGACATTTTGGTGCATCCCAGGTTTTTAGTTGGGTTTATGTTAGAAAGAAAACAGGCTTTGTTTGCTGCATCTGGTCAGAGCAGACACATTCAAACAGTTTCAATGTCAGCAGATGGATAGTAAAAATGTTGACCGCATGCAACCAATTCAGGGTTCCTAAGATGGACTGTAGACAAGCAGGTTGTTTGTGCCAAGTACTTCTACACGCCGATGCCATCTCTGGTTAATGTTTTTGAAATGTTGGGGAAAAAAACAATCGCAAACCACAGCACCAAAGTGCAAATCATGGCTAAAAATTTTTGGAATTCGTTGTCTTGTCCAGACATTCTCTGACCAACCACTGAAGGACACTGGATTTCGTGGCCTATACCGTAGCTTACATGCTGTTATAATATATTTCTTTTATTTAAACTGGTTTTATTTATTGCCAGCAGCTTTTTTGTTTGTTTGTTTGTTTTCGGCCCAGTGTTTTCTGATCTTTGTTTTTCCATTTCAGTCAAGAACTTTCATTTCACTGCATTGCTACTGATAAACGTTTGAACCGGGTGAAAAGGAGAGTCCACAAGGAAGGATCACGGGAACTGAAGGATCTGGAGAGATTTTATATTAAGGAATGGTCTCAGATTCGTTTGGGTGATATCGCAGTTCATTTAACATTATGAGAAAATTTGTGGTTGAAGTGCCGTAACCTTGGCAGGGAAAGTGCCAGTAAAAGTGTTGATTTACAATGTGTGTATTTTATATAATTTAACCTCCCTGAAGTTTCTCTCATATTCTAAATAATAGACTGTTATATGGCAAAAACATTCACACTTATGTGGTTCAAAGGTGCCAGTTATTCTGGGGGATGCTGTACTTTTTACTTTTTACCTTAATCAGTACATGGAGAGATGTTAGTAACACACTTCTAAATAATTGCCATATGCCGTTGAATACCATATTCCAGAAAGAGTATGTTTTCACTAGAGAAATTGATGAACTCATGAACAGTTTTGACGTGTTTGATTTTTGATGTTTTTTGAAGCCAGTTACTTTAATTTCTCTTGGGAATGCAAATCATTGTTACTTCGAAAATTCAAACATTCTTTTAAATGACACTGAAATATTCTGCCAAGAGAATGGATTATATAAGTGTATTGGAAGCATATGGAAGGACAGTTACAGCTGACCTAATGCTAAATGTTCTTGCCAAAATACTGACGAGTAACACAGATATAAGAAGGCCAACAGTCGTTTGAAAAGACAGTGATAGCTTTAGAAACAAGTAATAGCCGTTATAAAACATGAAACAGATGTTGTTTTATCATCACAATTATACCCTGATTGTTTTTCTCTCTATGGATGGATCTAGTCTGTTACAGTCATTTTACCATACATACCATTCTCATCCTGTCTTTCTCTCTGTCTGTTTGCAGGACTGCTCGAACTCTGAAGAGTACACAGTGGCTGCAGCCCTGCTGCCCCTGACGACAGCCTTTTATCGGGTGAGTGTGTCAGGATTTCAGTATGATTTTTCAAATAATTCAGAGCAATTATAATAAGTAGGTCTGGTTCGAACAGCCCCTTACAGCCCTGGAATGCTCATTGGTGTTTCCAAACAAGTATGCGAATACTCATTCTCAAAATCGCCCTTAAAAACAAGAATATGTATGTTTCGCAGTTTTTTAAGTGCTTTTGTCACTGCAGTTCAAAATATGTCCAGTAGGCAGCAGCAGTGTATTAAAGGGTCCATATCATGGAAAAGGAAAACAAATTTCCCTTGCCATTTTAAGATAAAGGAGCTTGTAAACATTGTTAAAGTTTCAAAACATACCATTTACAACCAGGCTGTATGGTTCATATATGGAAAATAAGCTGCAAAAGCAGCCCATTTTGAATGAATAGTTTCTGTGATGTCAGGAGACCCATCTAATTTACATAAAACCACTGTTTCAGCCTACAGCAGTTTAGCTCCACCCATTTACACTGAAGTTACAAGGAGTGTTTCAGCTCTGAGTACCTTTTGAATGAGGCACAATACAGGGCAGCCGATCAGAATACAGCTAGGTTATCTTATGTGGGTCTTAAAGGCACAGCAACAAAAAACTGCCTGTTTAATTAAAGAGAGGTTGTAAATGGTAATGTAAAAATGAGTAATGGCCATTTTTGGTATATAAAAACTATTTATAATTATATATATGTGGTGAAAGATGTAAGTGGACCTCAACAAAAAAAATAAAATACAAAAAAATGTGGGATACCGGCCCTTTAATGGTCAGACTGAAGCCCAGCTGTATCCCTCTTGTTCAAATACGGCTTTCATGACTCGTGTAGATGCTGAGGGTTTAAGAAATTAGAACTGTCATTTTATTCATCACCATCATGGTTTTAGTTTTACTTTGCTTTAGTTAGTTGATTTTGATTTATCAAGTTATTTTATTTGTTTAGTTTGTCTTTTGTTTTTTTTATTATTATGGAAAGTAGCAATGTAGAGTGACACGCATGCTAAGATAGAGCCAGACTGCAGAGTGGAGCGGAGGGTTGAGAAGCTTTTGGACTGACAAACCTATCTGAACATTAGGAGGACCATCGTAGAAGTGGCTTAGTGGATACTCTGCTCAGCTGATGCAGCCTGTCCTCCTGGGCTCGGTACCAAGCTCAGAGGATACGAGGCGAAAAACCACTGACACTAGAAGTGTAACAATGCACAAATTTCATGATTCTACACATAGTGCCTTATTTGTATCGCTTATAGACATCCTGTGAAGTTATTTTTTTGCTCATTCAGAATCAGCACTTGGCATCTGCTTGAATTCTGTGTGGAGAAGTAGCTGCTGAGACTTTGGTAACCGACACATTTGAGTGATGTCTTTACATTAGTTAAAAACCGTTAAGGTATTTAAATTTGATTTTGCTGAATAGAACAATTTCCTGTATATGAAATCTAATTGTACTCGATTCACAGTGAGTGTATACTTGCGACACCCGTATATTAACCTGCTTATCGTGATTCTCCAAACTAAAACTATGATTATGTCACGTAAATAAACTTTGGCTCGAGTGTACTTCACCGCCAGACTCCCAGCACCAGTGTTCAAGTTTTCCACCACTGTTAGAGCTCAACAAACAGATTTGAGGCTCAGAGCTTCCAGGTTTTAGCATCGCCCTCACCAAAGACTAGTTGTACTCAGACAGAATCACTACAAATACATATTTGAGATGCTTCCTAATGCTGGTCATGCCTGCATGATGTTCCAAACTCATATAATTTTTTGCACTGGGCATTTGTCTTATTGTAAGGTAATTTAAAGTATTCCCACATGTGATTTCTCAGGCATTGTTGTTCTTTTAGCTTCTCTGCCCTCGTGGAATGGAGAGATGACGCAGTTGCCTAGCCTTGGATTTATGATGCATTCAACTAAACCAGCAATAATTTATATATTTATTACATTTTGCATATATTAACAGTAAATGTGCTTTTTAAAGGCCTTTGCTGATAAAATTCTTGTTGTAGTTAGCTGTGATGCAGTTTTTCTATGGTGTGAAAAAAAGACAAAGTTTCCAAATACTAAATAGAAATGTAAATTATTTAAGCCACCCCTAATAATAGGCAGTGGTGAATGTAAGCTGAGACTATGTTGTTCAGTCTCTCTTTTTCTGTCTGTTCCTATCTCTCTCTCCCACCCTCTCTTTTTCTCTGCCTGGTAGACAGGAGGTTTCTATTATGCTCAAATATTTATTGAACATCATGACTTCTAGCACACACAGCAGGCATTAATGAGGGTTATTAGATCTCTGAGGGCTCAGAAGTGCTTTATCCAGGTTCGTCACGTTTCCCTCTCCCCGATTTTGATGTTTCATTCTCTCTAGCCCTCTTTATCAAGTCAAAGTCAAGTCAAAGTTTATTTACATAGCGCTTTTTACAACAGGTGTTGTCACAAAGCAGCTTTACAGAAAAATCCGGGTCCGAGCCCCCATGAGCATCGCCAGTGGCGACAGTGGCGAGGAAAACTTCCTAAGAGCAAGAGGAAGAAACCTTGAGAGGAACCAAGAAAAGGGGAACCCATCCTCCTCTGGTCGACACCAGATAGCAAACAGCATTAGTATAAAATATTAGAATACAAAACGGGGGAAAAACAGGTGGAGCGATGGTTAATTAGATAGATTAAGTTTATGCAGCAGCAGCATCATCATCATCATCATCCTCAGGAGGGTCAGTTCATGCAGGTGAGGTTTGCACAGCTTTGTACAGCATGAAACTCCATGGTGGTCAAAACGGTGCAGATCAGCCAACAGAGATGGAGCTCTGGTGACTCTAGCAGTTCTGGTGGCTCATATGTGGCGACTTAGGCTCAGGGGCTCAAATAAAGGGAGGGGGAAAGAGAGCAAGAGAGAGGGAAAGAGAGAGCGAGAGAGAAATTGGTTAACAGGACAGGTCTGTTTATGGGGAGATATTAGTGAGCTAATAGTGCAACAGCTGATATTAGCACAGGCCTACAGTATGCTTGTTTTGCTTAGCTCATTTGAAGAATGGGGAAACAAGCATTTTTCACAAACCCCAAAGGGCTGCTGGGATTTGTGGTCCCATGCCTCTGGGTGGCTGCGGCTTACGACATGAATTCAGCACAAATCAACACGCGTGTTGTCATAGGAACAGACACAACGAACAGTTGCTTCCTCGCCGTGTGTCTGTGAACGCCGGCTGCCTTGGAGTGCATTCACATAATGACTCAATGCATGACTATGGGACATCTGATGTAACTAGTAAAGTCATGGGGGGGCATATTTCTTCCTTGCCATGACAACAGCACCTGTTCCATCCTAGTCCTAAACCCTCAACTGTATTTGCTGCACATCTGCCCTGGGCCTGGGATCAACAACCATTTCAGCCCATCAGTGCATGTTGTTTTGTATCAGTTTGTTTCAGGAAGATTTTAAGCTCTTTCAGAGTTTCAGTTCCAAAAAAAAAAATCCCTTTTCCCCTCTTTCATTTTTGATTTATCTTATTTGCAGCTGCTCCTCAGCGTAGCAGGTCTTTCGCATGACACACCGTCAACACCAACCTGAGAACAGCCTGTCAAGTTGAGAAATTCGACTGGGGAGAATTCCACTTCCTTCTAAACAAGAATAAAGCCAGGAGCCTATGAGTACTCCAGACCACAGCATATGGCGCATCTTGGATTGGAACCCGTACAAATTCTACGCTGAGACATGCTTTTGCTTAGTGTACTGTTCAAGGCCCTGAAACATCTTGTGATTTGTTTGTCGGACAGTTAATGGTTTGTGCTTCCACAGTTGCGGAACATCCTTTCCATGGATGTAGCCTTAGCACCTGCCATTCAAACTATTCTGGAGAGCCAGAGAACAGTTCACTGACCAGCTGTACAGGCTTCTTCGAGTTTGCTGCGATTAAGACATCTGAAAGCCATTGCTCAAACATATTGAGTTTCCTGTTATTCCTATTCTGTTTACGTAACCGCAAAACCTGATTAAAGCATTACGTAAAAAGGCCACTCGGCCTGGTTTGCATACAGAGAGGTGAGATACATCTCTAACATGGACTAGAAATGCAGCTGCCAAGAGAGAGGAAGGAATCCTTGTGCACTTCTTCCTACTCCAAAACGCTGATTTTTCCCAACTTTGCAAAGGAATGGTGTTCACGTGCAGTTTTCTCACGCAAATGGCAAAGGAAGGTCACTGAGGTTAGACCTGCGGCTTGTTGTTTGGTAATCAGTTTGTTACCTGAAATTAAGGCATGGACATTTTGGAAGAAAACAGTATTGCTTTCTTAGCATGTCCTCGCGTAATCCTTGTATGGCACGAAAGACAGTTCCCCCCAGTGCGTGTTTCTCTAGCTCTGTGCTACACATTTTCCATCTTCTCTCAGCTCCCAGTAGTCTTGTACTTAACCACACTGTGTGTTCTTCTCAGGGCTGGCTTGGCAGGACATGAAGGCACGGATGGCTTTGTGTCTGTCTGTGTCTTTCCCTTCATCTCCCAAATGCTAGTTTATAATACAGGAAGGCGAAGTCAGGAAGAGGATAAGTAGAGCTGATTTAGATGCTCTTCTTCTCCTGCAGCTCCATTTCCAGGTGCAATAAACGTGGGAATCTCAAAGCCAGATCTGTAAAGCAATCAGTGTTGTGCTCGTCCAGACAGATAGTGGACAGTAGCATTAGTGCAGGTTTACTCACTCAGGATTTGACAGTATTGAATTTACTGGCTTATCATGGGTGGAAGATTAACTCTGGGTTCAAGGCAGGTCAACCAAAGACTTCTACAACACTGAGCATGCAGCATTTCTCTCTCGAAAACCCATTCAGTGCCTTAAACCCCATGTGTCAAACACAAGGCCCGCAGGCCAGATCATGTCTGTCACACAATCCTATCGGCCCGCACAAGTATTTTAATTTTCTATTAATATTAGCTTATTTCACAATGTGCTGCACTACAGTCCCCAGCATGCACTGCAACGTAATGTGCTCTGAATCTCCTACGCCAACAA